GCTGAATTATCTTGGAATGTCACATAGCTCTCTCGATAACCCTTACACAACAGAAGTGAAAGAATGTCACTTCGGCATGTCCCTGTTTATTGGCATCTGTCATAGGACAGAGATGGTTACCTAATACATATTCTATAAAGTACAAGATAAAATTAAAGATACCAGTGCTACGGACCCATATCCCAAAGTACATGGGAAATAATAACCCTTTTCCTTTGGAAGAAGTAGAATACCACAGAGGACACAGGGGAATTACACTAGATACGGTGTTCTCTTGTTTGCTAAGTAACATTCACACTGTTCCTGATAATTTAGAGAACACTTGACCTAGACAGTTTGCCACTCAGAAAAAAGGAAACTAATCAATGTTTCTTTATTAAAATTTCAGATAGCATTCAGACTGCATCTTACTATGTTAGTACTCCCTCCGATTCACAATAAGTGACCAATTTGCTTTTTCATTTTGGTTCAAAATAAGTGTCCAGTTATGTAATCAAGAAAGAATTCAATTTGTTTTTACAAAATAACCCCTATGTACATATCCCTAAAAAGTTTTCTTACTCCTCACATTAAATGTTTAATTAGGGGTAGTTTAGTCATAGTAGGTATTTTTGTATAGAATTTAGTATTTTCTTAATGGCGTGCTAAAAGCAAATTGGTCACTTATTGTGAACCGGAGGGAGTAATGTTTGCAGAATATTCTGGGACGTAAAAGATCATATTAGACAAGTTGATTTGCAATTTAATAAATAAGGCATCCCCAAAAAACCAAAGAGTACTTGGTTTTTAAAAAGCTAAAGTCTTAGGATACGTGCGTTGCGCGCATTCCCCATAATAATAAAATACAAAATTTTAAAGAACCACATAAATAGTAATGTGTTTGAGTCATAAAATTAAAATTAAATTAAAAAAAAATAAGATCATGAAAATGATAAATCATGTTGATTTTTAGCCATAATCTTCATCTATGTTAAACGGACTCTCCAAATAATGTCGCACCCATGTCGGATCATCCAATATTCTATTTGTGGAGGATCCGACATGCACCCGGCTACATTTTCGGAGAATCCGAGCAACATAGATCTTCATTTTACATTTGTGGTGTTCAGTTGATCAAAGGTTTTAATTTTTCACTTCAAATCACGATGCCATGTTTAATATACATATATAACCAAAATCAAAACAATTTTGGAGTTCAAAAACTAACTTTTGAAAGAAGATTAGCATGAGAGGCATTTTAATTTTTAAGAATAGCTTCATGCATTTCTTCGTGTTATGTTTGTTATTGCCTTATATCTATTTTTCACTAATGAAATAATGGTTCTTGCAATATATGTTTTGAATAGGTCATTATTCAAATTTGCCTACTCATTTTTGTTAATAATTATCTTGGAGCTATTTGTTTTAAAATATTTGAGCTCGACAGTTTATAGGGATAACTTTAGGTCTTTAAAAACAAATATTTTTATGATTTTCATGGAATTAAAGGTTGAGCATTTTTTTCCATCGATTTTCTATATCTTTGGGTGTGGCTAGTTGGTATCTCAGATTTAAATTGTTATTATTTATTTGTTTCTTAATTTTAGTTCGATAACATTGGATTATCTGTGAGGCAGGAGTAGGGTCACAAAATTAATCAAAAATTATAGAGAAAAATACTTGAGAATATTTTTATGCTTGATTCATTCAAATGATTAGAAGCAACGACGAAACAACAAATGTTCAAGAGTTAGTTCACAAAATAAAAACATAATATACGTGAAGAAACAAACATCACAATTTAATAAATTAATAAATAATCACAACTTAAATAAGAAAAAAACTCAAACACATGTAGACGCAAAATATATAAAAGTGATTGCAGAAAAACCGAGAAGACAATATGAATGAAAAACATAATCATAATTTAGGCATAGTCATCTGTACTAAAATATGATTCATATTATCTTCAATCATATGCATATATCCAACATAAAATCTATTTTTGCATAGAGTTGGTTAAAATTATTAATATATGCATACTTTGGTTTTGATGTCAATTTTGCACATCTATAGTATTTTTTGATAAATGACTAAATTATCATCTTATTTCTAATCATAACATATACTTTCAAATTGTACAAACAAATATATACACCACTATTTGACATTAATGCAAGGCTTTGCATTCTCTAAACGGCATATAATCAAACGGTGAACCAAAATGCTACTAAATAATTGCTGGATAATACTCAAATTGCTCAAAATGAGAATATTTTTGTATGAGGGTGGTAGCTAATTTGACCATGTAAATTGTATAATGAAAAAAAAGCACTAAATATCCTGAAAATAGGAGAACGAAACAAAGATATAAGAAAGAGTGTTAAATAAAAGAGCTGGGTCATCTTCAATTGTTCTTTAACAATTCAGCACTTTTCGGTGCTCGCTTTAGCTGTACTCCAATTTTTTTTTCTTTTTATTCACAGATTTTCTTCGGTGTTCATGGCCAAACCAGTTTATCAAGATTCGGCAGGGCAAGTGTCAACTCTAATCCAACTCTATGGAAGAATTTGAATGGTCGTAATCGTCGACAACCCAACCGACGTCCACCATAGGCTCGGCGAGCTGTCCTCCTAGATTTCCCGAAGGTAATGCCAGGGCCTTTTCAGTACTGACGACTCTTGATGCCAAGAAGGAGACCAACTAGACGAGACAAACCATTGTTCATAGGTTGGTTATAAGCCCGGAGATCGAATCAGATTCTTCCCCTTTGAGAGGGATTCTCGTGCCAACCATAGGAAGAAGAACTCGGTTACTCATCTTGTATTCTAACCGCCTAAATGAATTAATATATTTTCATTTAATAATTTGCTTATTTAAAAATCTTTTCATTAGGATATCAATGATTTTCAATCATTGTATCTTGATAAATAGTAGAAAGAATTAATTTTTTAGTTTTTCTTCTTGCACATGAGTACATGAATAAGATTAAGGAGTTATAGTTATTTTATACAATTCAAATAATAAAACAATTTATAAAAATAAAATTTTGCGCGACTTTAATTCCTAAATATTAGGCACATAACCGAAACAGATGGTGATGAACATAAGAAAATTATAATTTTCCTCAATGTACTTTGGTGTGGTAGCTGCAAAGGATCCAAAGGCTTCTAATATCTATAATACGCAACCTAAAACCGGAAGGAAGAAAGCACAAGAGTCGGTCAATACCAAGTTTAGAATAGAAGAAGAGATGAAAAACATAAGCAAAACCACTAATAAGCAATAAAGGAGTTTGAATTAGAATCAACCATTAAGACTTCGGCAACCCTAACGAAAATATCAAACTATTAATATGGCAAACAAAAAAGAACAAAAAAGGGAATCCAAAATAAGACTTTTTCCAAGTTTAAGCAGTAATCAACCATGAATAGCATATACACCACAAAGTAAAAGACAGGAAAATTGACTTTTAAAAGCAATAATGAAATCTTTAACATAACTAAAATACAAGTCAAAGACAAATATACCATAGTTCACCTCAAAGAACGCTTATGCCATTGGGAAAATAAAAACTTGAGATCATAAAAGGAGATAATTTTCATAGCATAATATCTTAATTGATCTTAATTTCCTAAATTTTAGGAATTCCTACATAGTTCAAATAAGAAAAGATTTAGCAAAATTTAGTTGCTTTGAAAGACCTAATATTAAGAAAATATTAAATAACAATAATTCAATTATAATTTTTTCAATGTGAAATATATTTTTAAAAGGTAAAAGGTGAGCGACATTTCGCTAAGGGTCTTCGTACTTTTAATATAATATATTTTTATAATTCATTTTATGGGGCTTTCTCCTTTGCTCTGACGAGAAGAAAAAGTCTCTCTCTTATAGAGGCTTCTAAAAAGGCCGTTTTCTTCGAGAGAGATTCCCAACTCAGCTCTTATTTATGTCATCTTCAGAGTCTTCCTTCCTAGCAGCCTATGTCTAGTGTTAAAAAAGGCATTAGCAAGGTCTTTCCACATGGACCTTGATGGACTTCCAAGTTCTCAGTTTCATCCAGGGGCGGATTTAGGGGGGCGCAAGGGGGTTCACCCGAACCCCCTTCGCCGAAGAATTATACGGTATATATAAGGCAAAATCTGGTTTTTATCTCTATAGATTAAGTTTTGAACCCCTTAACACAACCCAAAAGTGTAGTTTAGTGGTCTAGGGGGTTCAAAACCTTCATAAGGTCACAGGTTCAATTCCCACTAGCCACAAAAACTTTTTTTGAACCCCCTTCATTGAGATCCTGCCTCCGCCACTGGTTTCATCTATTTATGGAAGCAAACAGAACAACAAGACTTAACCAGAAATACATGGTAATGTAAAAGGATTACATAGGAATGTAAATTAAAAAGATAGAAGGACACACACAGACAACAGAGCAATATTCTTCAACAATTAAAAAGGAAGATGGAAACAGAATAGCTTGATTAGGTCTGCAACAGAAGTGTTTAAGCTCCAGGTTCAGTTCTACAAACATTATGTTTCGCGCTTAATCCCTTTTGGTGGTTACATAGATTCCGAATAACAGACATTCAAGCAACTTTGACCCAAGTCAAATCACTGTGTAGATGCTTCACCACAGTAGTTGGCAGATACAACATTAAAACAACAAGGAGCCTTGGACTGCCAAGATGTTTATAATAACTTCAATGAGATTACAACCCATCGAAGCTCATGAAATATCATATTTCTGGCTAAAAAGTTGATTCTGAGTTATTACTTGAATAAAGTGACACCATATTTCTGTGCAGCACAAACCAGTAGTACTACTAATTAATGAGTGAAATGACACACATTATATCTGCAAATGCTTTTTCTTGTTCCATCTCCATACAATGAAGCCTAAGGAAAGAGAAACTAGTTGAAATTCCATATCATGTATCACAAGCTCCAGCAAATAGAATACAATCTAGAAGAAAGCATATATGCAGAGACTATTGGGTAAAGGGGGGAAAAAGGGAACTCACTCCATTTTGATGGGCTCTCTCAACGAGCTTGAAAGGTGATAAGAAGCCATCGCTATGAATAGAATGAGAATGAAGTTCAAAGACTAATTTCTCTTTGGGTTGAGGAACAGCAAAATCCTCAGCTGCAGGTGAAAGAGGAGAGCGGTCCAAGAAAACCCATTCGCTCACACAATTATACGCCAAAGTCTGTTCAGATGTCATTCTCCTCTTTGAACCACCTCTCTTCTTCTTCTTCTTCTTATTCGACCCTTGTTTCTTGGGGATTTCTTTGTCACCCATCATCATACGATTCTTCTCTACCAATTTCTTCTTTTTTTTAACAAGAGGAGCCTATATTGGGTACTGGGGTCGGTCTACACCAGCACGAATGTCTTTTGAAATTATTATATATTTTTTTTTTTGGCAAGTAAAAGTTTTATTTACCAAGTAAAGATATATATAGCTCACAAAGTTGTTTTATTCTACTTCTCTTCTACTTTTTTCTCTTTTTTCTCTCTCTCTTTATTTTCTTCTAAATTTAAGTGGTTTCCGCAGATGCATAAATTTTCACTGCAAATGCGGCATCGCAGGTGCGACTGAGTGAGCCGCAGATGCAGGATCGCTGGGTAGAAGGTTTAAATTGTGGGTTTCGTCATTTTTCTCATAATTGGAATTTTAGAGTTCGGTTGGAGGCGATTTTTTGGAGCCGTTTTGCTACAATTGGAGAGGTAAGTGAAGCTTAACCACTTTTGATGTTAGATATTGATTACCGATTGATTATTACACCTATTTTATGTGAATTTAAGATAAAATTTGGGGATTTTAGACTATGTTGCTGGAGACTGAGATTCGATGATTTGAAGGTTGATTTGTGGTTGGAATTGGATGAAATTAGTATGGTTGGCCTCTTAATTGAATGGGTGTTCAGAATTTATGTGTTTTGTCGGATTCTGGGGTGCGGGCCCGGAGTTGACTTTTTAGGTTGACTTTTCGATTTTGATTAAAGACGCTTTATTGTGTGGGATTGTTTCCTATGGATCTTATTGGTGATATTAAGTTGTTTTGGCTAGATTCGAGTCGTTCGGAGGCCGATTCGCATGGCAAGGGCTTTTTGGAGTATTGATTTGCATGTTTTGAGGTTAGTAACATATCTAAACTTGGATTTGAGGATAATTATCCCTGAAAACTATATTATTTATGATGTGTTAGGGTGACGCACATGCTAGTGGCGGGCGTGTGTGTGTGCACCAGAGTAATCATGATCTGAGTGGACTTTAGACTATTACTGGACTTGTTTTGCTATCATGCCTTGTTATATACGTATTTTCTCTACTTGTATGATTTTTTGAGCTATGGTTCATGTTAGAAATTCCCATAATATAAACAAGCTGAACATGATATCATTGAGTTATTTACTTATATTGTTTCCTTTATATCTTGATATGTTACTAGTTATTGATAATGATCTCTGACTATACTTCTGAGCTCGTCACTGCTTTCAGCCCAAGGTTAGGTTTGTTACTTATTGAGTACATGGGGTCGGTTGTACTCATACTGTAGATCCAAGTACTTCTAGACGTGGTGACTGGTAGAGTTGAGCTGGTGTCGGCTTCCGGAGACTACGAGGTAGCTGCTATGTCATCTGCAGACCTTGAAGTTCTCTTTTCACTTATTCTTGTTATTACTGTTCTAATGTTCAGACAATTGTATTAAGAATATGGCCTTGTATTATGATATTCAGTAGTGCTCGTAAACTCGTTGACACCAAATCTTTTGGGATGATTATAGCAGTACTGTTGTTGATTTCATCAGCTATTTCATGACAACTTCGTTGTTGAGTTTATTGAATCATGTTTATTCAAATTCGTTGTTATTATGTGACTGTTAGCTTGCCTAGCAAGTAGTGTTAGACACCGTCGCAGCTCCGGTGGGGGTTGGTTCATGACAAGTTGGTATCAGAGCACTAGGTTGCTTAGGTCTCACGATTCATTAGCAAGTTTAGTAGAGTCTTGTGGATCGATACAGACACGTCTGTACTTATCTTTGAGAGGCTATCGAACTATTAGAAAACTTCACTTTCTTGCATTCTTGTCGTGTGAATTTGTTAATTCAGAAGTCTAAACCTCTATTCTTTTACTCTCTCATAGATGGTGAGAACACGATCAGCTGATCAGGCACCAGTACCACTAGTCAGAGCCACAAGAGGCCGGGGTCAATGTAGAGGCTGAGTTGGGGCACGCACGGCAGTGAGGGGTGTATATGTGGAGCCATCAGTTGCTCCATTAGAGGAGTAGATACTAGATATTATTGATCCGGTGGGACCAGCTCAGACACCGGTGGTACCTATTGTGATACCTGGTCTTCAGGAGGCTTTGGCTATGTGTACAAGCTTGTCTCAGGCGGTTTTGATGCCAGGTGCACCAACTATCTCACAGGCTGGGGAGGAGCTCAGACTTCCGCTGCCCGTACTCCAGAGCAGCTAGCTCAGGGCCATCAGACACCAGGGGTGTTACTAGTTCATCTGGTTGTTGCTGCTTGGGCCGAGGTTGATCCACCCATGAATGATTGAGCAGAAGAGGTTGGAGCGGTTTAGGGCGCTTAAACTGCTAGAGTTCAGAGCGGTGGGGTTGCATTTACTACTTTTCAGCTGACAAGGGCAACCTATAGATGGTAGCAGACTTATGAGTTGAATAGGTCAGCTGGTGCAGCACCGCTTACGTGGTATGAGTTCTTAGTTCTCTTCTTAGAGAAGTTTGTTCCTCAGACTTGCAGGGAGGAGCTGTGTAGAGATTTTGATCAGCTACACTAGGGAGATATGATTGTGACTCGGTATGAGATGAGATTCGTGGATTTGGCTCGTCATGCAGTATGGTTGGTTCCCAAGATCAGGAGGTTCATTGATGGCCTCAACTATGATCTACGTTATAGTTTGGCTCGAGATGCAGAGACGGATGCTAGGTTTGACCAGGTGGTCGAGGTTGCTAGGCGTTTGAACCAGGTTCGCAGGCTTGAGCGCGATGAGCGAAAAGGTAAAGGTTCTGTGGTTTTGGTGGTTTTAGTGGTACCTTATCTGGAGGCCAGCCACATCACAGCAGAGGTTGTTCTTTTAGGCCCGCTCAGATGGCTCGTCAAGTTCCTCATGATTCATCAGCTAGCCACGGTTTGTACAACACTTGTCTAGTTCAGTCATCTTTCAGTGCACTCCCAGCTTAGAGCTCGTATCGTGCTCCATCAGTTCAGGTTTTGTCAATTCTGGGCTCTTCCAGTGGTTATTCTAGTTCTCGAGGTCTGGTTCAGGACCCGCAGTCATCCCTAGGTCGAGGTTGCTACGAGTGTGGGGAGTTAGGGCATGTGAGGAGGTTTTGCCACCATTTTATTAGAGGTCCCGTGCAGCAAAGTGGTCATGCTATGACTCCCACACCAGTTACTACACTACTCGCTCAGCTAGCTCGGGGTGGAGGTCGTACAGGTCGAGGTAGCCCCAGAGGGGGAGGTCAGTCAGGTGGTGGTCATGCTCATTTCTATGCATTTCCCGCCAGACCAGAGGGAGTTACTTTCAATGCTATGATCACATGTATTGTCTCAGTGTGCCACAGTGATGCTTCTATATTATTTTTTCCTGGTTCCACTTATTCATATGTGTCATCATACTTTGCTCGTTATTTGTATGCCTCGTGATTCTTTAGTTATGCATGTTCATGTATCTACACTGGTGGGTGATTCTATTATTCTGGACCGCATATATCAGTTGTGTGTGGTGACTCTCGAGGTTTATGAGAGCAGAGTTGATCTTTTACTGCTTAGCATGGTTACTTTTGACGTGATTTTGGGCATGGATTGGTTGTCGCCATATCACACCATCCTTGATTGTCATGCTAAGACCGTGACATTGGCGATGCCGGGGGTGCCATAGTTGGAGTGGAGAGGCTCCCTGGATCATGTTCCTAGTACGGTGATTTCGCATTTGAAAGCTACAGATGGTTGAGAAGGGATGTTTGGCGTACTTGTCCTTCGTGAGGGATGTTAGTGCGGATACTCCTACCGTTGATTTAGTTCTGGTAGTGAGAGACTTCCCAGATGTGTTTCCAGCAGACCTTCCGGGCATGCCACCTGACAGGCACATTGATTTTGGTATTGACTTGGTGTTGGGCACTCAGCCCATCTCTATTTCACGGTATCGCATGGCACATATAGAGTTTAAGGAGTTGAAGGAATAGTTGCCGGAGCTACTTGATAAGGGCTTCATCAGGCCTAGTGTGTCACCTTAGGGTGTACATGTTCTATTTGTGAAGAAGAAGGATGATACTATAAGGATGTATATTGACTATAGGCAGCTGAACAAGGTTACTATTAAGAACAAGTACCCACTACCGCGCATTGATGGCTTATAACTTCAGGGTGCTAGAGTGTTCTCGAAGATTGATTTGATATCGGGGTATCATCAATTGAAGATACAGGATTCAGACATTCTTAAGATGGCTTCCAGAACACGTTATGGTCACTGTGAGTTTTTGGTAATGTCTTTTTGACTACCCAATGCCCCAACAACTTTCATGCACTTGATGAACATCGTGTTCCAACTATATCTTGACTCCTTCGTAATAGTATTCATTGATGATATATTGGTGTATTCGCGCAGCTAGGAGGATCATGAGCAACACTTGAGGATCGTGCTTTAGACTTTGAGGGAGAAGAAGTTGTATGGTAAATTCTCCAAATGTGAGTTTTGGCTTGATTCGGTGGCATTTTTGGGGCACGTGATGTCCAGTGTGGGGATTAAGGTAGATCCGAAGAAGATTGAGGCAATTCAGAGTTGGCCTAGACTGTCTTCTGCCACTGAGATCTGGAGTTTCCTTGGTTTGGCGGGTTATTATTGCCATTTTGTGGAGGGTTTCTCATCCATTACTGCACCTTTGACTAGATTGTCTCAAAATGGTGCCCCATTCATATGGTCTGAGGAGTGTGAGGAGAGCTTTCAGAAGATTAAGACTGCCTTAACAACATCTCTAGTTCTAGTTCTACCTTCAGGATCGAGTTCTTACACTATCTGTTGTGATGCTTCACGGATTGGCATTGGTTATGTGTTGATGCAGGAGGGTAGAGTGATTGCTTATGCTTCACGTTAGTTGAAGCCCCATGAGAAGAACTACTCCGTACATGATTTGGAGTTGGCATTCATTGTTCACGCATTGAAGATTTGGAGGCACTATTTTTACGGCGTTTCTGTTAAGGTGTTCACAGATTACAGGAGCCTACAATACTTGTTCAAGCAAAAGAATCTGAACTTGAGAAAGCGGAGGTGGTTGGAGCTACTAAATGGCTACGATATCACCATTCTTTATCACCCGGGGAAGGCCAATGTTGTGGCCAATGCTTTGAGT